CAAAGTCTGTGGCTAGTAAAGGACAAAAATGGGGCTGTAAAGAAAATCTGTCTGCATTCAAAACCAAAACTCTTTTTTTCTCTATAGAAAACTAATTGATTTTCTGGGAGAAAAAAATAATTGATTAACAAAAGGCAAATTATACCTTAGGGCATTCTCTGGTAAATCAAATTTTACTAAATCAAAAAAGAAGCAACATATTTTTCTGAATGCCTTGCTCAGGACCATGCCAGGCAGAGCAAAGGATACAGATGTATGTACCCTTACCGTGAAGGAATTTACAATCTAGCTTGGGAAACATTTGGTAAATTATTATTATACTAAGCCCACTGAAGTCTCTTCTTATCAAATCTTTTATATAAATGAAGCATTACAAGGACATATGTCTAAAAGAGTAAGCATATAATAAGCACTTTTTGATTAGAAAAACTGAGCACAAGCCTATAATCATGATATGGCAATTAATTCAGACCAAAGCAGAGGATTACAAAACCAAAACAGAAAATAATTTAGAAGATGTTCTTCTTAGAGAGTAAATTTGATTCCAATGGCCTGTTTAAATTCATGGTTTTGTGGTTCCAAAATGTCATAGAAAACTTGACTTTTATTAAAATGGTCTCAAATATGAAGCAAATCTTCAATGGAATAGTTATCATTTTTTCCAGCCCAAATTGTCAGACCTGTACCTGTATTAAAATAAAACAGAACTATATTGTTAAAATGAAAATAAGAAACATAAATGAGCAATTCCCATAAGCCTAAAAATATTCCAATTTGTCTCTGAATCAAAAGCACACAGATGAAAAAATTAATTAGCAATGGTGTAATTAATATTTTTCTATTTCATTCCTTCATCAACATCAAAGAGACTAAAGACAAAAAATTCACACTGATGTTGTCTAAATTATATCACCTCTCCATGTGAATTAAATGGCTTTGGAAACTCATACTGATGGTAATGAAAATGGGTCTAATTTGGGGAAAAGGAACTGAAGAGACTGTGTTGCTAATCAAGGAATTCATCCCCCCACATACAAATTCCACCTATAACCTGGTCAGAGTACAAAGCACAACTGGAAAAGAGCATAAATGTTACTGACATTCCCAACACTCATAGTCACCATAGTCAACCCATTCACTCACTATGCCTTTTGGGGGTTTGTATGAGATGTGAGAATGCCAAGAGATGTCATTAAGAATAATAGAACACTGGGCTGGGATTGTGGCTCAGCAGTAGAGCGCTAGTCTAGCACAGGCAGGACCCAAGTTCGAACCTCAGCACCACATAAAAATAAAGGCATTGTGTTGTGTCCATCTACACCTAAAAAATAAATGTGTTTTTTTTTTTTTTAAAGAATAACAGAACAGTGGCTGGGGTCCTGGCTCAGTGGAAAAGCACTTGCCTAGTACATAAGGGGCCTTGGGTTTGATCCTCAACACCACATATAAATAATAAAGGTTTTGTGTCTACCTACAAGTAAAAACATATTTTAAAAAACAATAACAGAATAAGTTTATATCACCTTCTGAGGAGTTAAAAAACAACATATGCAAATTTGTGTGGATATATGAATATGCTCAGAATCTAAATGTTATTTACACTCCTCATTTTCATTTCTTCCAGTGATAATACCACTATTGCATTAGAGTCTAGGGAAATGCAAAGCTGTTAAGCTCATATTTATTTTCTCATAAACATGTCAGAATTAAGGGAAAAATCTTTAAAGCATTTCTTCTACTAATGATAAGAAATAACTGCCTGAGGCATCTGGTCTTAAATTGACACATTCCAGCCC